CCTACACCAGCTTTTGTCGTGTCTTTTGTGTGCGTGATGGACTGGACTGCTTACTTTGGTACAGAAACGTCACCAAATGGGCGGGAGATGGAGCTATGACTGACAGTCGTGATAGGCAATTAGTGGGCATGCTGCCTTCAGGCTCCCGTGGGAAAGATGGAAATCGGGTTGGAGGCCAATTCACATTGAAAAAGTGTTCTTTAACTTATGATATCTTCTATGCGAAACACTGTGGCGTTATTGTATGCTGGGTTTGCTTGTCAATACCGTGTTTTTGTATGATGACATTAAAAATGTAGATATGTTTATGATCAACAACATACAGGAGTTTCACCAGTGTGCATTCACAAAATCTGATCAAATTTTGAAATGTATTTTGTGTGTTAAATGTAGATATTTATAGGTACTGCTTGCAGAAAGTAGTACAAAAAGTCTTATGAAACCAACAGCTTTGTTGGTACCTTAAAACTCTCTTGGAATAAACCTGGCTTGAAAAACTGGGACACTGGAGACATTGCCAATACCTAATTGTTTCAGGAAACTGGGTTCTTGCTGTAGCTTTCTTTTAGATATAAGGTAATCTTATACTTTCTACTTTGGCCTGAGTACGGTGCTTTTTCTTGAAAGACGATGAAAGATAAAACTACATACAGCATATTATTGTAATTGGAATTACCTAAATACCAATGAGAGATTATAACGTTATTGTAAACATTTAGCTTTAGCAACATTTCTAAACTTGGCCTTTGCCTTTATTGTACACTTACTATAAGTGTTTCCCATAAATAGTCAGCAACACAACCTTAAATAAATGTATAACTAGAGTCAATTAAGTCAATTTATCCTTGTGTGACAGTCTATATTACTTTTGGCGGTAACAATTATTGCAACCAACAATTTAATCAAATATTTCAGATTCATAACAAATAAAGCTCACAGGTTGTGGTACTGCATTGTACCGATTAGATGATTTCCCATGCGGTTTGAACGCACCACCAAGACAAGGAGGGAATGCGCGGATACCCGGATGTGTAAATAAATACAAGATGAGAATATGAATTCTTCACCTGTGTGTGATATAAAAAAATATTGAATTTTTACTTTTCTTTGAGTTTTTCGAGTGCACTTCACCGAATTATTGTACGGTATGTCACGTTGTGTTTTTGTATCACGTCTTTTCACCGAATGTTTACACAATTGACTACCTGATACAAAAATATTACTTTGTAATAACGTATCTGTGTATCATTGAAAGGATATTCATCTAAATTCATGACATCAATATACTTTTTTTACATTGTTAAATGCAATAAAAACAACCCCTGACCTCACGTGATCCCGACACCAAAACAACTGCAAGGTCATGAGTAAAAACGAACATAATATTCTCGGAGGAATATTAAAGAGAGTTCTGAAGAATAACTCATTTAATAAAATAAAACAACCACAACACACAGCTCACTGCTGAGCATTTGCGCCAAACCAAAAGCAGCCCGCAGCAGTTAAATTTAGAAACAGATCAATGAGATTCATGCAGTGCTTTGGGTATTAATTTATATATATACTTGTTTTTCCTTTAATATTTTTTTTTCACTGACTGAGTCCCAACACCCAGAAACGATCAGGTGTGTTGTCGTGTCACCATGCACGGAAAGAGGAGGTGGATGAGAAGGATGCTAGTGATAAGGAGGAGGAGAAGGAGAGCGACGAGGAAGGGGGAGAGGGAGAAGGGGGAGGATGCATGTAAACCCTGCAGCCTGCTCACTCTGAGTTGCAGGGGCTGGGTGCGTGTTCGTGAGCGTGGACGTTGCGAAATCCGCTGTGTTTTTGTCGCCTGTTCACGTGGTAATTCTAAGGCTACCAAAACACTAAGCGATATCTGCAGCTTTGAGAAGAGGAGAGATCCGTAGGAAATGGAGCAAATGGTCAACTAATTTGTTTAAAATTTTCGTTAGTGCATAAAAGGTGAAGTGGGACACATATTGGATGGTCGCTTTTGACCAGCATCAACCATGCGAGTAGACAGTACCTAACATGAAAGCCCCTTTGTTACCTTGCATCTTTTAAATCATCGTCTCTGTGTGTGTGATGCATCGCAGATGATGAATTATGATGAATTAGCATTTAGCGGTTTGCTTATAAATACCGTGGAGATCCGATATACAAGTGAGACCACAACTGTAAACTCAACTCCCACACGGTGATGGTGTCGGTACAGTAACATGACAGGGTTATTACACACACACACACTAACACGTGATGATGCGTGTCCTCCAGCAGGTCACACAGTATCAACAGCAACACTTACCACAACCACGTTTGGCTGCTTCTTCTTTTCCTCCTCGCCTTATGATGATAAACAGACTGTTAAATGTGTCTCCCCACTGCTGAAGAGCAGGAGTGTGGAAAAACAAACAACAACAGAAAGTCTCCTTTACCAACGTCCCATAAAGGCAGCAGTAGTAACGGGTTCCTGTCTGCTTAAAGCTGATTGCTATTAAAAAGTACCAAAAATCATTCAGTCATAAGCCAATGATTTTTAATCTTGAAGTGTTACTGTTAATTAGGTCCGTCCAGAATTAGATCATGTGCATGTCCGAGGAAATTTCTACAGCTTTCTGCCGCCTCACATCAGTTGCAGGACAGGCTCGTCTGTCCTGTCTGCAGCCTTGTGTAAACTGAATCGTAATCAGATGGGCGACTGATGCGCACACAACAGGCAGGGCACAGCGTCTGCTGTCTTTCCAGCGTCCTCCGAATGATGGAGTTGGCACTACGGCAGCGGGTCTCTTGTGAAACACTCGGTCATTAAAACTAAAGCTTAAGTCGTGTTTTATTTCATCCACCTCTGTTGCATTTACGTGCTGTAGGACATATGAGAGCCGGGCTTGAAAGTGGAGTTAGTACATGGAACACGTAATTTTGGTGACAGAGAATAGTGAACAATTCCTAGGCTATACAACAACAAAGAAGTACCGAAAGCTACATCTTCACTGATTATGCCTCTGAAAGCTAGGAAACAGAGCAGAAAGAAGAACAAATAACAATAATATGAAAAAATGTATACCGGATATGACAAAGGAATGAGCTGTCCAAAATGTTAAACATTAAAACCACAAATAGCTATCATCCATTTCAACTGATCAAACATGCCTAAGGGTAACTGTGAATAAAATACTGTTTAAAAAACCATAACATATAAGAACTGTTGTTGTAACTATTGGTTGAAATTGGATGCAGTGATGTGTGTGAATGTACTTCACACTGTACAAATGTATAATGTCATATTCATATTCATAAAATGTGAAATGCAATTTTCCACAGTTAAACGTTTAAAGTAGTGATGGTGAAATGAAGCCCCATGAGGCACTGAACCACTTCAGCCAATTGGTTCAGTAAAGGGTTCATTACTCGAAGCTTCATGTGCACACGAAACCACCTACTGGCCAGATGTGTTATCACA